TTTTTTCACCTTCCATGCAGGTCATGTGCAAAGATGGCAAAGGGCAGCAGGATGGTGACATTCTCCCTGTTTGCTTGTGCATATGCAACTGGTGTCAACAAGTCGGCTGCTTCTATCAAGCCCATGTTTTCTGTTGCTTTGCAAACTACATGCTGCTGCCCAGGTTTGTATTGCTCCACCAGTGTCCACATTTTCAACACTGTCCAACATGTTTCATGCATTTGGAAGTGGAGCAACACCTGCCCTACATTGAACTGCATGGCGCTGGACACACTTGTATACAAAACAACATCTCCTTTACTCACTCTGCATCCACTTTCAAGTTTGGCCTCCAGACTGGTGGTTGCCTGGCTAATGTCTTCCCCTAAGATGTCTGACAGCCATTGGAGGCACCTCTTGGAAGCATTGCAAGGCTGTGTCAGGTGGACCCCTTCTGTGAAGCAACCTGGTTGCTGCAAGACAGAAACCTCCTGTGCAACAACCTGTTCCAGCAAACTCCTTTCATAAGCGCCTGTGTATTTCATAGGAGTTGCATACTTTGTAATTGCTTTATGCTTTCGCTCAGCAGTAAAGCAACTTGGGAGCATCTGGTGTCTTCCATATTCATCAGCCAGATGCAAGAGCCAATGAAACTTTTTCACCCAACCCTTGTCAAAGTCAGCCTTGCCAAAGCTGGCCAAGCACTCCTCTACTCTTGCAAGCAAAGAATCCCTTGTGACCATGCCAGCAGGAATCCCAGAATGCAGCAAATCCAGGACAGAGCCTGAATTGACTTGAAAGAACGAATAATGCAGCCAACTGGCTTCCAGCTTATGGGTTTGTGCACAGCAACAGCATAACATGCCAAGTTGCTCATGTCCAAGAAGGCAGCTGTAGCTTCAGGTGCAATGGACTGAGGTACAACACTGCTCATCAAGAAATATCTGAACACAGGATACCAGGTTAGCATCTCTGATGCCTGCAAAGATATCCTTTCATTTTCCTTGTATTTCTTCAGCTTCTTGTCTTCAAAGCAATCTGCCAGCCCATTTGCTCTCCATGCCTTTGGAAAAGACCACAGGCTCACTTGCTTGTGTAGCAACTCCCAGCATTGCGCAGCATCCACTGCAACATATGCCACAATTGGCAAAGTGCCTTGTAGAACTGTGTGCATCCAGTCGTGCACAAACTGTTCAACAGGGTGTAGCACACCCTTCTCCAACAAGGCACTGTTCAAGAGCAATGCACAAGGGTCATAGGTAATCCCTGCTGCCATCTCCCACAGTTGAAACTCTTTCTTTGTGCAACATTTGCTTTTCATATGTAGCCTCTGGAAGCTCTCCAACAAAGCAGAGCTAGACACCAAGGCCAAATCACTGTACTTGACTGCTCTAGCCTGCATTGAAGAGCTTGGGGCTGTTGATGCAGAAGTGCGTATGTTTGCACACAGCAGGCAATAGTGATCACCTGAATCGCCTTTGCTATTCCACAAAGCTTTGTGTGCCAAGCCATCTTGCACAACAATCCCCAATTTAAAAAACAAAGTCATCGACCCTGAGGAATGCTTCAGCAAGAGTCCCCCACATTGGGGGTCTATGAGTGCATCACAAAAGATTGACTTTAAAATCACACCAGCAATCTGACCAGGCCCTGCACACAGGCTGGCCACAAATGAGCTCTTCTCTATAGCAATGCAAAGCCAAGCATTCTCATCACTGATGTGTTTGCCAAATTCCTTGAATGTACAATAATAGCGCCAACTCTTTCTGCTTGCTTTTCCAAGAATGTTTCCAGGAATCACTTCATCTGAGTACAATAT